TGTGATTCAGGTGTCGCACCTGCATGTGTCCGTCTGACGTCTGATTGGCTCATTATGTTGGTTTGTCATCATCTGTCATCCAGCCAAACAACCTGACATCGTTAAACCCGTCAAGACCGAGATTTTGGCACGGCTGCGTCTCACACCTCTTGTTTGATTGTTCTTTCTCATTTCTCCTCCTCACCTTGAGAAACCGACAGCAATCCTCTGAGTAACAATGCAGGAAACTTTTCTTTCGCACAAATTGGCTTCCAGTAAATTGATTCGTCTGTTTTGGAAATAAGCTCTAAATGAGAAGTCTGGCGAGCCCTTGGTGGTCTGAGATCTGATCGCTGTCTTGTCATTACAAACTACATATACGCACTCTAGCAATGGAGAATAACAATTACTCTGCCCGTAAAAGCACTTATGAACTTCTCTGGTCCCTCGTTTTTCTCCAGCCATCTGTGGCATGGAACACGTCAGCTCCTCTGACGATAATATGACTCCACTACAACTCTTATTTTCAATCAATAAGATGGCATAAGGAGAATCTAACCGGTCCCAGGACAGAGCCCTGCAGGATTCCACCGTTCTTCCATCGAGCGAGTCAATCCGCCTGCGCTTTGATAGGCCAGCGGGGAGAGCATGACATTTTGCGATGCAATTGTTTTGTGGTTATGGCTGCACGATGTGTTTATTCATTTCAGGAGAATGAGAAGAGGTCGTCTCTTAAAAGCCCTTCAGATGCTCACAGCAGAGTCACGCATGAGCTGAGATACTCCATGCTTCTTCTTTGAAAATGTGCATTTATTTTCCCTTGTTTTATTCTGTTGGAGCTCTCTAGAGGAGTTCCACTGTTTGCACACTGTAAAAGATGTTAGAGTTATGGTAAATACTGCGTTTCGATGTGAATTATATGGTGCACTCTTAAAAATAAAGGCTCTTTATTGGCATTGATGGATGAACGTTTAACATCCGTGGAATCTTTCCATTGCACAAGGCTCTTTATAGTGGAAAATGTTCTTTAGATTAAGGGAAAAAAATGGTTATTTAAGAACTGGTTGTTGAAAGGTTCTTTGGAGAACCAAAAATGTCCTTTGGAAGAGTGTAAGTCATAGTTTTCTGACATGTTTAAATATGCAAATGAGGCATTATTTAATCAAACATGCACTAATTTGCATACATTTCCAGCACAAAAATCTGAACATTAGATAAAGTCAGGTTCAAATTCTTGTTTGATTTTGTTGACATATTAAGAGTTTTTTCCAGAGGGGATTGTGGATTTCTCTTTTCATCGCTCCATAAATCAGAAAATACTGTCAACAGACGGAAAACAAACACATCTTCACCATGTTTTCAGGAGTAAAATGTTGTATAAATCAGTGTGAGTGAAATATGTACAAACCTACAGAATATAGAGAGGAATAAACTGTAAAGTTTGGTGTTTGTAAGAGAAAAAACTCTCTAAAGATTGAAATCTACAGACGCAGATAGATAAAGTGCAATAAAAGAAACCCTTAAATGTGTATTGTGGATGTTTTCTTTCCACTAGTCTGAAAGAAGAGACTTGATATGGAAGCACAATAGCCCTCAAAACTGACCAGTGCATGAAGAAAACAAGACGTGACTGCATTCATGTGTGTTCATATATCACAACAACACCTAATATGTTTTTATCTGCAAATAGATAAAGAAAAAACTTGAAGAACACATTCTAGTTATTGTCCACACCATTGATCCCTTTAACTCACTACAGCTTGTCTTTAATGTGCAAGTTATTAACTCTATAAATCTCTTAAAAAGCAAATAGTCAGTGAGACAGTCAGACACACAAATGAGTGATGCCTTCTGAACGATGATAATCCAGTAAGGTTTCAACTAATAAAACCCAATTATGAATATACCCACGGCCACAGTTAGCTGAAGGTCTCCGGTGCGCGGGAGGCAAGTCATAAATGAGCTGAGTAAAGCCCTGTGTAAGTGGAAAAAGGTGAATGTCACATGGGTCTCGTCTCTGCTCAGCTGCCGGTAAGACCGTAATCCACTGTGTAATTCGTTATTGATGCATGAAAGACAAAACACTGGAAACACGGTCAGCGGTGGAACCAGTGCGTCCAATCTGCAATAGATTAACCAGCTCCAGTAGCGTGATGAATCTATATATTACTCTAATCTTGATTTCAAAGTGATTTGTGCCACTGGTCAAAACATCAACATCATTGTGCTGATTGTCTGAAACAGGTGCATGTGTTATTTCACCTCTCTGATGTCCAGCGAGGCTGTGCTGGTTATATATAGTCTCAGTGATTTCCTTTGCACCTTTTTCTCTTGCCATTACATAAATGCAGGACACAGACAAACGACGCACCTTTATATTTAGACACTGAACCCCCTGCAATTTAGCAGACCAGTAAACAGAATAAAAAACAGAGGCGACATGTTCCCTTGGAAAGTGGAAAGTTACACGATTGTTGTGGGTTAAAAATGTCAAGACATTTCTGTTGCTGCCTAAATTGTTTCTGTCCCTATACATGTAAAACGTTAATGTTGGTTTAACCTAAAAAGTATGTTACCTGGACACTCACACACACTTGCTCACACTCACACACACACACACACTCACACACACAC